TTTGAGATCGGACTACCCACATGCGTATTCATATACTATGCAACTAGAACAATATAAAGTGGCGACACTGCGAAAGTGTGTTAAGTACTAAAAAGAAGTGTGACCCTAGCAGTATTAGGGATTTGGCCAGAGCGGCGAAAGATGCAGCTAATAATAAACACCATCTAGTGCCGCTCGGTGCACTAACCTTTGCCACTATAGTCAAACGGGCTGTACACAGGAATCCAAAGGATAACTCGGTCTTGGAGCGGAGAACCCAGCTCTGGATGCGTGTAACCAACAGCGAGAGAACAGACTGGGCGTAATCAGTTCGAGTGAGGGTCAGTGAGTCCAGTTTCGGACACAGTTCACAATGACGCTTAGTGGAACCGAAGTGCGTGCAAGTGTAGTCTGCTGGCTGTCTTAGTGCAAGAATATTGGACGACGCCAGAGGAACAGCAGAGTCGCCTGATAGGCGGATTATTTATGCCATGCTCCTAAACGAGGTTGCTGGAATGTAGCTAATGATGACAGAACTAGTGGTACCGTGAGTACCGTCAATTAAGCTGAGGCCTGTTGAAGGAACGTTAGCAATGGCGTAGGGAGGGAAGTAAGAGAAACAGGTCATCAGCAGCAACATGTTTTCTATTGTACGTCCAGCAGCAAGCAGCAGATAAGGCGATTGTTTTTAAGTTGCGTGATAGCCAATGCGGAGTTTGATGAAATATTCGTGGTTTTAGGCGGGTTAGAAAGATGACAGGGAGCCCAAATTTAAAAGACGATCGGGATCCACAACCAAAGCAGTTGGCACAAAAGCATGATGGTAAGATAAAGAGATAATAACGAAATGGGTGCCATCCCATTTAAACCTTAACCTGAGTGCTCAAGAGACCGAATGCATTTGACCTATGGTAGGAATTCTTAATGAGTCCGAGGATAATAACCAGCATAAATCAATGGGCCTAAGAAGTCTATCTGTAAAGATGACTATGTTCGAAAAAGACACAGTTCTATCTGACACGGACCGCTTCGTTTGCGATGCGACAGGTCGTGATAAAACCGAACAAGTCGAGAAATCGCTACTTCGCGAGTTAAAAAGCTGATGCATATTGAATTGATTGACGTGAAAAAATGACAGCTTCGCCCTCGTCGGTCTCGACTTTCTTAAAAGTACGACCTACCGAAGAGTCATAAGGAAGGCGTCCCCCTTCGTCCAATCGATTCAGTGGTCGGCGCACCGTATCAGAAGTTGGCGCGATGGTTAGCCGAACTTATCGAACCTATTCGGCGTGAAGTGGCCGGATACAGTCTCAAAGATGCGTCCGAATTCGTCAATAGAATCCGAGATTTGAACGTAGAAGGGAAACATAAGATCTCGTTTGATGTGTTCATTATTCATTAATGTTCCCCTAGAATAGACTCTAGAAGTAATAGGCGTACATGCCGGCAAAATCAAGTTTCCAGCTCAGCACCTGCAGACACCACCACGCTTGTCCCGAAGCATGTTCAGTTTAACGGCACCATGTATTAACAGACAGATGGGGTAGCCATGGGAAGTAAACTTGGGCCTGTGTTGGGTGATATCTTCATGGATCACCTGGTAAACACCAAGCTACGTTCTTACATACAAAACGAACATCCCTATACCCGCTACATAAACGACACTTTCGTGGTTATAGACACTGCCGTGCAAGCAGATCACCTACTAGTGGCTCTAAACTGTCATCCCGCGATAGAATTTAGAGCCGAAAACGAAATTTCCGGTGCCCTCCGCCTTTTTGATATCAGTCTAAGAAAATATCTAAATGGCACACTCATTCGATCTGCGTACGGCAAGCTTACCTGGACAGTACAATACCACAACTTTAGCAGTTGCTGTCCTGTGAATTAAAAACGAGCTCCGGTTCATACGACTTTGAAGAGTTCACCAGAACTGCTCCGAGGAAATGACTGTATGTGAGCTGTGACGAGTCTCCGAGAGATTAGGTGAAAACGGATATCTAGAGTTCACAGCACGGCACTCAAATCCGAACACAAGTACTAGGAAGCAACGGGTGCCCGACATCCCTAAGAAAAAGTGTTTATAACGCTACCATGAAAATGCGACCAAAATGACAGGACGTTCAAATACCGTCTCCGTCAATCTATAAGTCTTAGTTCGCCACTGAACTTGTGCTTATGCATTAAGGTAAGAAGTTGCTGTTTAGATCCAACCTGGAAATGGCCAGACTCGAGTTACCGCCTCAATCATTTACCTGTTTCACTGTACTTGCGGTAGCGAGTACGCCGGGAGAGCTGAGCGAACACAATGCACAAGGATTTCAGAGCATATTCCGCGAAACCTGGTCGCGAATGGTCCAAAGCTGCCTGCCAGTTCGATTGCCGGACACACTTGATTGCTCTATGTGTGAAAACCCTCATGAAGCATTTGGCATAATCAACCGATAGAGCGCCGTCCGTCTGCTTCAGTTCGCTGAGGCTTTGGCAATTAAACGGCTGAAACCCACTTTGTGTAAACAGACCGAGTTTGTCGTCAGTATCGCCCTGCCTTAGTGAGGCTGGTGGCTACATTCCTCTAGGCGGATTGACGGCTAGCATCAGAAGAACTTTGACCGTAGCCCACTTTGGTGGCCGGAAGCTCGGCCGGGTCGTATGCATTGATCATACAGCATATCACTAACGCCTATGGTAACCAATATCTATGATATACGCTCAGGAAGGTGTACACTTTCGTCTAAGTTATTTGGAACGGCATGTGACAAGTTTTCGCACCATCGGTAGTTCTCAGTGTACTGCACAACGACCGGTTAACAACAAGTGATCTATCATTACAGTGAGAACCCACTGTAATCGTAGTTTACAGGAGTTACTGCTATCTCTGAGTGAACCTTTGCAGAGTCAGAGGCAATTCCAACTGAAAGCCAAGGTGTACCCTACTCGGAGTGGCCGGACGACGTTTAAAGAAAAACACCAGTGAATGTTAACAAGAAATATCACAGTAGTGTTGAACAGGTGACAGATCGAGTAGGTGTAAAGCACATGTATAGTTATTTCGTACATGGTGCACCATTTGTTGACAGTGGTGCAGCGCCACGCAGGCAGGTGCTTCTGCTACAACCTGCACCATGAACTGCATCCACCATTCAGTCTTGGTAAGTACGCTATCCGGATCCCCTCGGAGCACTTCGGAATATCGTCACCTCAGGGTTTGTTTAATGTAGGCCTTAATGATACTTCAAATACCTTCTATTGGGTTCATTTGCGGAGAATACGGTGCCAATCGCAGAAATCTTCCTGAGCTGCAAGGTACCTCTCGGAAGATACGCTCCGGATCTGTGTGACATGGTGCGTTATCACAAATATAGAGACAGCTTTCGGCGAAATGGATGCCATTGGTATCAAGCAGTAGCCACAACCACCGCGCGCATCTTTCTTTATTACAACTGCCTCTCATGACAGAACATTCGAGCAACCCATCCTCATTCATCGCGCTGGTGAGGTGCGGATTTTGTCCCCGAGTGTTCGGCACCGCAGTGTGCACGGGTGCCACGTGCTGAATGTCCTATTGTGCGAACACAGAACAGATTAAACTTCGTCCCATCCATACTACTCCCCGTCCTTCTGCCTCCAAGTTCATCAACTACAACACGTACGCCTTCATAAACCTCTTGCTCCTTATCGTATGCAAGGGTTCCGGTATTGCACGTAATTTCTTTATTGTCTTGAGCCGATCGTCTAGGCAGCGAGCGACTGCACTGACGCTCACGTCCACTTTGAGCTCCACCTTTAGTCGCAACGGAAGTTTCCAAGGTAACCGTAGTGTCCGATTCCACCCATTCTACCAGACACTCCAGGTGACTCTCCGACAGACACCTTCGACGGGACACGCTAAAATCTCTTGTCGGCACATTCAATTCTAGCGATATAATCCAGCTTTTACATGTCTTCACATTCGCCTATAACAATGATGTAATGTCCTTCCAATCGTCGCGCACTTCATATGTTCTCAGGATAAGAGCCTTTACATCGGACGGATGACGGGCGTACGTTCCTCCTTTTCCTATGGCGCGTAGTATGATCTAAAGGATAAAAAAGCGTATAAATCAAGTTAAAGACAACCATGTAGGTGAACTATCAGGAAGTTGTTTTCGCGCTGCCCACTGCGTGCGGTTCCCGTGCAGCCCAAATAGGGGAAGAGAGAAGTGCCAACTCCGTTGATCAGAGACCATACAGGTGTTTCCACTTATAAGTCATGTGTGAAATCACTTGACATTTTGGAACTAAACTTCCGCCCCCGTATGCCAAGCGGGTATGATGCCTGCAATTGGCGTGCTAGCTAACAGGCCGTTGGGCGTAATGACACAGTTCTCATGCGTTGGCGTCTGCGACACAGCGGCAGATTGACATCCGTATGGTTTCTCGTGCCCCAGTCCATAAATTTTAGCACCACACACAACTCACACTTAAGCCTACGTAGGTAAGGTCATTCATGCCAGGCGGCCTGAAAATTGGACACCGCTCAGATCATGCCCACGGCCGACAACGCAGTGCAATCTGGTTTAAAGTTAGATGGGTATTAGATTAAATTTGCTGCAGTACAGACGAAAGCTGACGAGTAACGGATTAGAGGTTGCATTAAGGTTGAAAGTGACCGAGAAATGCTATAAAAGATAAACATCCGTGGTGTTCCACTGACATTAGCAAGCACGCACGTAATTTGTTACCGCGGACTCTCAATGCAGTTAGGCTGTGCTTTAGAACGGAGCTGAATGCTGTTGCACGCTCACAACTCCGTATGTGGTCGAGAAGCACCAAAGCATTAGTGAGCATCGTTGGTACACTGTTGCTACCTTTGAGACCATTTCAGTCAAGATCTAAGTAAGAAGTCATTTCCTAAGACAGCACGAATAAGTGGGGAAAATACAAAACACTAGAGCAAAATCAAGACAGCACGACCTCCTAGTCAATGCCTACCGAGTGGATACGACATTACAAGTGGTTTCATTTAAAAACATACTCACTTTTAATAGATTTTCCTGCATATAGGTCTTGAAATAATTAAGCAGGGTGACTTTCTTTTCGATCGAATCAGGGTGATTTGTAACTGTGAAAAAATTTTCTGTGCCATCTTGGTCGATGTACTGGAGATTTTCCAAGTTGGCAGCGAGTATCAGACGAGTCACGTCGTTAAAGACAACTCCACTTGAGTTGTCACATAGCTGATAACCTAGACCATATTTATCCGAATAATCCACCCATTTGCTAATCCAGTATACAGGACAGCAGGCCGGGTCTTCACTCTCTTCCATCGCCATGCAATTACAGTCTTCCAATACCTTCGCAGTAGTCAATAGGGTTTTCAACTAAGCAGCAGATGTACAAAATTTAGATCATTACCTCCTTTCTTAAATCGCTAAGCCAGCAATCATCTGGTTGACAGTCCATTTGAGTGTTGACTGGTTTCAGAAGAGAACCGCCGCCATGAGTGATGGGAACATCTTCAACAGGATTTATGTCCGAAAGCGGACGGCGGCCCACAGGGATATTTAACTGGGCGTCGAACCGGGGACAGGTTGTCAGGGCACTGACCGGGAGGCAAGTGGGCGTGTAACCTTTGAAAAATTCATCATCCAACATTTTGAACATGCTAGGGCGCATTGCCGGATCGGCATGGAGTAGCGCTCGAATGAATCTGGATGCGGGAGCAGAAACACGGTATGGAATTTTGTACTCGTTCAGTTTGATCCGAGTATATGTCTCCTCCAATTTGTTCGTCTCGAAAGGTGGATTTCCGACCAGTAGGGTATACCTATGCGGTGTCAGAAAATATGAGACAAACTCACAGAATACAACCCAGAGACCAGCAATCAACTTCAAAACTGTGGCCGCCCTTGGTCAGAACCTCCGGCGCAATATAATTCGGAGTACCACACAAGGTCTTTTTCTTCTCACCGTCATGAACAATGCGAGATGCTAACCCAAAATCGCCGATTTTTACAACTAAATCGTCGCTAAGAAAAAGATTGGCCAATTTCAGGTCACGGTGCATCACTTTATTTTTGTGCAAATACTGACAGCCGTGAATGATTTGCCGGAGGAAATAGCGGGCTTCTGGTTCAGAAATAAATCGCCGCCGCTTGTGTAGCTCGAGTAGAGACTGTGAAGATATGAAGATCGGATGAAAAGACTCACCCTTCTGTTACACAACTCGAGAACTATATAAATGAAATCAGAATCCTCAAAATAGCCGTGAAATCCGACGACATTTTCATGGCTCAGAGTTTTATGAATAGCTATCTCTTGCTGCATTTTTTCCTTTTGTGATACCTTAACCAGCGCAGCCTTCGGAACGACTTTACCAGCATACTTCGCCTTGGTGGATTGGTCAGTAAGTTCATAACATTTAGCAAATCCACCCTGAAATTTAAGCAACACAAAAGAAAATCACCTTTCCTAGGAACCTTCCCCTCGTATATTTCTTCTTATTTTTGACATCTACGACCTCTTCCGGCGGCTCTTTATTCTTAGAAGCGTCCCGAGAAGACATAACAAATCAGCGAACAATCGAAATCGGATGCCGCGCGGCGCGGAAAGTTGCGTGCTTCCACGACACACAACAAAATCATCAATTCTCAGGCAGATAGCTAAACCACTAATAATCTTAAAAGCCCTTGATGCAAATGAAATCATATGTGTGCAAGGTATAGTATTCTGTTTTTATCGTAGTATATTAAGCGTGATTACTGGTTTGGCTCCCAGCGGATAAGTAAAAGAATTCTCTTGCCGAAAAACCAATTTAACCGTAGTAACTATTTATGTAAAAGTGCTTTGTTAGCCTTGAATTCTCTCATAAATCAGTTAAATATCAGAATCTTGTAGTTCATCTCTTTGAAGACCTCCCATTGTTGACATTGAAGCATCGCGAAAATACTGGGATTCCTTTGGTGAAGAATTAGTCAACGAATAGCGTACTTAGCAATCATAGTTGCTGACGAAGCGCACGGCAAAGACGTTTCGACAACACGTTCTGTTTTGCCTAATTCCCGACTCCAAAAACGTGGCTTCCAAACGCGCGGACTTTGGCATATGCGTTAACCCACGCTAACAGTGAACCTTCTGCAGCAAACCATCGTAAATATTCTGCTGTAACATGGATTTCTACATCTACCAATGCCTTTAGCGCATGTCTCTCAAATCGTCAACTTTTACTTTTGCTTGCGTCGAGCAAATGTTGGTGGCCGGCACAGCGGGGACCGTTAGTGCAGGGCACGTGGGCATTGTTTGGTTGACCAGATGAATCGTATGTGTTGATTTGGCTCTCCTTTGGTACAGCAAGGCACCGGTTTTCCTGTTTGATCTACGACGTTTTCCAAGGTGGAACATTCGCTGGATTTTCCCACTGTTCCGGTCCCGCTTGAACTTGAACTAAGGGTTTCTGGTGAGCCTGCGTCCATTCAGTCTACATACTGCACCTCTTGGGCAGTGACTAACGGGAAAGAAGTGTCACCTGTTCCGTCTTATACGTTTTCGTGTTCGGGTAGTGCACGCTCAGGGAAAACCTACGCCGTACCTCCTCGACTGAGTTAGTAGTACACCACTGCACGGTGCGAACAAGGATGGCTACGACGGTTAGCCTGGTGGCATGCACAAGCAAATCGGCTAGGGACGAGATAACTTCCTCTGCACGCAAAGCAAAAAGGAACATGGTTTTATAGCCCCGCATGTTGACGTTACTCAAGCAAACACATACACTCAAGCTATTGGTCGCACAGCATTGTCCCGCGGGTCGATACCCACTGGTCTTTTACTCTGGTTCGGATTGGTTTGTTTTACCATATGTGCTTTCTGCATTGATCCATGCGTCAGGATACAAGTGCAAGTGTGTCATCCATTTGTGCCTTATCCCTCCGAGTTTGGGGACTACTTGTCTAACAAAGAGATAGGAATACTTAGGCTGTACGTATCAGGATGTCATTGAGTAATACGAACCCTCCGGCTGGGCTGCCACTTCCTTTGCCGGATGGTTGAGGTTCAAGTTATATGCTAGGGTACATCACACAACCTAATACTGCATGTGCTACTACATTCTCCAGTCAAACTACTGGGTCGTGGCTGAAAATAATGGTTGCCACAACCATTACATATTATCCAAGCTGCGTTGAGGATACCCTGGACACGGTTCTTAAACGATATCCAGACTCGTCCAACAAACACCAATTGGGAAATCTCAGCAATGTTAAAGCAAACTTCCCTGCGGTGGACTCCAGCAGACCTAACTGCTTTAAGGCCAGAGCACTGGCTTAGCCCTAACAGCCCGAGGAGGTATAAGTGTTAACGAGGCTCAAACGAGGTATAATGGTACAATTTCTTCAAGCTGCATGGGCAGCACCAATAATTCTTTTGATCAAACCGGACAGCGGTGAACGAGTTTGTGTGGAGTATGTTCTAACCATAAATTCGGTGAACTCAACGGCACTTATCCACTACCTAAAGTGGGGAAGTTGTACGCTTCTTTATCTGGCGGGGGCATGTTTACCGAACTGGACTATGCGGTCGACGTGATGCACTGCAAGTCAAAAGTAACCATTCAAGTGGATCGACGGCAGTTTTCCAGGACGTGGCGGGTTTTCGCCTGACAAGCTTTCTCCCTACAAAAGGCCACGTATGTCCGGTTAACAGTACTGCAATATGATTTATTGGACTGGCCACTTACCATAGTCATCCCAAAATGCTTCACACTGGAAAGTTGAGTAGCTTCACATTTCCCTGTTATTGATACCCACACTACAAGCTAGTTTCCTACCTGCACCTTCTACCAACAATTCGCACCATACTATTTTTCCGTTTAAGTTATATAACGCACCCGTAAATGAACACAGATTATGGTCAGCAACGGATTTTGTTTCGCGCAAGTACTTTCTTATTTCTACAAACTCTACGTTTACGCAATCTTCCCTTAGAATGCAACGCAATATAACTGTTGAGACGCAATTACCTGTAGGGTATTGCTCCTGCCTCTAAGCAATGCCTCAAAAAGTTCGAGACGAAAATATATATTTACCCTCGTAGCTACACGCCAACTAACTACGGTGAGCATAACTTTGCGCCTGTAGTCTACACGAGGCCAGGTTTTTGTATTACATCTGCCACGCCTATCTGCCAACGAATACTTGACAACAACCTGCTTGCTTTACATAACACTTGTGCATGCCTTTATGCTCTACTAATTATCAGTCGCAAAGCATAAGAACACCCCAGCAGGTTGTACTAGGTGTTACGTGCGCTGTCTAAACACTGTTTAAGTTTGAAGCGCTCAAAGTGTTTTATAGTTGATTCCGTTGACTACCTTGTACATCGACTGGATCAACTTATTTTACACGCACGGAGAGTCAAACTTCAGTCCATGGTTTTGGCGCCTCATCCACATAATAAGCACAGGTCCGTTGGTGCGTTAGGTTATCACATTATCCTCGGTTTCTACGCAACCATGCTTTAGTTATACAAGACCATCGCGAATTTTAAGAGTTCTGTGGTCATGGTGTGAGAAACGAACGAGCATTTGTGTAAGCCAACTTATTTTTTTCACCAACGTTGGTACATTATGATCACAACGCGTCATTCATTCAGCAACGTCGTGCCCCGCCGTATTGGGTTGGAACAGTTTTAAGTTCGCAACGGAAACATTTGTCCTATTGCTTGCGGATTCCGCAAGCTACACCCGCTGCGAGGAATTGCACCAAACTGGACAAACAGGCACCGGCCGTGATTCTCGAGCTCAAGCGTTACCAGCAACGTTTGTGTGGCCCTCGGTTGGAGATACATGCTGAAGCTAAAACTTTGAGCTCGGTGTTCGGTGAAGGGCCGGGCATAAAAAATAAATGCTCCCCAACTTTTACGCTAAATATTTCCACTTTCTGCTTACGTTTAGCAAACCAGGTATCTCACTGCTTCTCACTGTAATGACGCTGACGCTCACAGTAGGCTACCACAGATTGTTCAATCGCGTGAATAAACTAGATCGCCATGCGCCCTTGTTCGACTTTTGCGAAACCTGGACCCTACGCCCAAAGCCAGCGACGTGGGTAGGAAGGGTACAGAGTGTGTTCCGGTCCTATCGAAAGGGAAACGTACAATGCGGCGGGGTTGGTAAGCAGCGAACCCTTGACGACTTGCGTCCGTGTTACAATGGCTTGTAAAGCTACTCCTGCAGGAAGGAAGCATTTTGAGTAAAGCTGGTGTTGTCATTCCGTCAGGGCTAAGATCAACTATACTGAGGGAGTAACACAATGCTCGTCCGCGGACCATCCGTATGAAAGCTCTGGCCAGAGCGTATTGCTGGTGGCCGGCAAACGTTAGTGATATTGAAGCGCTTTCGAATACTTGTACTACTTGTCAGATATATCAAAAGAAAAACCAGTCATTTGCTTTACCCATGGGAGTTGCCTGACTGTCCATGGAAAATTGCTCACGCTAACTTTTTAGTCCGATTAAAGGGAAAGCTTTCTACGCTGGGTGACAAGTACTCCAAGTGGATAGATGTACACGTCGTCGCTAACGCTATTGCGGAAAATACAACCAGTAACTTACGTTATGGTCTATGCAGACAAGTCGTACCAAAAACCTTGGTCACAGATAACGTTTATAGTTTAGCAGTGCAACGTTCAAACAATACCTTCAAGGTAATAGCATCCACGACCTGGGTGCCCTATAATACTATGCAGCGTCAATTGGTTTAGCAGAACGAGCGGTACAAGGTGTGGATGTCGGTATTCCCAACCAACGCCATGGCACGGTGCAGTAAACTTGATCGCTTGCTATTCGAGTATCGCACCAAAACCCTAGGATCCACAGGAAAATGACCGGGATTGTTTAGGATGGGCACCTCTTAACTAATGGATGAGTGAACTTAAATGCCGGGCATGGCTGAACGCTAAAATCTCGCCTCCGTCTGCAGTAACTATTGACTAATAACTTAGATTCTGTGTACAGGTGACCACGAGTACCTCGCACCTCCTGTTGTTCTATTTTTTAAGACTTACTGTTAAGCAAAGAGCCATCTTATTACACAGCTCTGCTTTTCTGTTTTTGTCTGGCTTACCAACTGGCGACGGAGGTCACCGTACGATTGAATACGACGAAAATACGACGAACTATGTCGTTTCATTGGAGCAACATGCCGCAAAACTGCAGCATAACAAGAAGCAAGTTGAAGAACGCCAGACACGATTGCTCAGAAACACCATAAGAAGTTTCGGACAGCAAGCAAGCTCAACCAATGAAAAGCAGCAAGCATCAGCGGATGTGCTTACGAACAGCATTTGTGAGTTTCGGTATGACCTGGGTGGCGTTCCAACCTCTGACTCTCGATACAGAAGATTCGAAGAATTTTTCCGGTCCGAATTTACTGATGCTGACGAAAGATGGAATTGCAGACGGCGTTTGATGAAGTTGGGAACCAGCGAGTATGCAAAGTTTCTCAAGTTTATTTTTCCAACATGCCCCAAAGCTTTTACATTTGAGCAACTTTACCCCTGCCACGTGACCTTTTTGGTGTACAGTCCCTTATTCAGCTTCCGATACAGCTGCGCTTCAGACAATTCCGTAACTTGCA